TTATGCTATCAAGAAGGAGCCGAGCCGAAAAGGATGAAGAGAAGGCTTTTCAATGGTACTGGAAATCTGAGACGTTGGTGGACGAAGTAATCATTCATATTGTTACGAAGATGGTATTGGAACGATAAAACCTGGATTCTATTTTAATACAGAATTTGGAAAATATTTTGCACAGAACCACGGAGTAGGACCACAATATATGGGGAAGAATATTTTGACAATATCTAAAATCTGCCGAAGATGGAGACCCTTTGGATGTTATTATCAAAATGGAATCGGGATCATAAGGGATGAGGCCGATGGTACTTTAAATCTGCAGAAAGTGGGAATTCCTCGTCAGAAAATCGTCTTGAAATTTTATATTTTAAATGGAATTATAACTAGAGAAAAAATGCTATTTCATTGGCTCTTGATGTATGCCGTATTTATGGGCGATATCATCTCACGTATTGCTATGAAAACGGATTCGGAACCGAAAAAGATGAAGAGAAAGCTTTTCAATGGTTTTTAAAGTCAGCTGAGTCAGGAATGCTAATGCGCAACATAATCTTGGAATCCGTTATCAGAATGGAGTGAACATGAGAGTATGCATTCGAGTGGTTCTCTAAATCCGCTGAAGCCGGAAAAATTGGTGCAGAATATAGTCTCGCAACTTATTATCAAAATGAATTGGAACCGTAATAAACGAGCGGAAGGCCTTTCGGTTCTCGAAATTCGCTGAAGCCAGAAATACTAAAACACAATTCAAGTCTCGCAACTTGATGTCGAGCTGGAATTGGAATCACAGTAAATGAAAGAAAAGCTTTTCGGTGGTTCCGGAAGTCCGCTGAAGCCGGAAATATCAATGAACAATTTTGTCTCTCAGAGTGTTATCGATATGGAATTGGGACTAAAAAAGACGAAAACAAAATCATTCAGTGTTCCATTAAATCTGTTAGAGATGGATCCCCTGGTATAGTTTTGAACACATTGAGTATTTAGCTCAAGGAGGAATTGTTAAAATATTTAAAGTCATCTGGATGAAGAATAAAGAACATTTTGGCACCATACCCGAAGATACTCGGAAGGAAGCTCCTAAAAGTTTACATTCTTCTGAAAATATTATCACTGTAAACTTTATAAAAGAAGTAAGTATAATTTGGTGTATTTTGAGTTTTCTAATATGCGGAGCTATACCTTATATTGCACCTGAAGTTTTTATCAAGAAAAAAATACTGTACGTACAAGCACGTTATATATACAGCTTTAGAATATTAACGTGGGAATTCGCGTCAGGTTATAGGCATTTAATAATTGAACCATGTTTCTCTTATTAACGATATTATAAATGGGTCACGAGCTGAAATTACAATGAACACTCCCTCAGTTTTTGCAGTTGATGGAGAAATGCTGGAATAACGATCCATTCAAAAGACTAAGTGTCAGTGAAATCAAACAACAGTTTGGTAAATAGCTCTGGAATAAAAAAACGAACGTGATTTCATTCTCGCAGAGAAGCATCGAAAACAACTGTTAAAAGAAGTTTTGAAAGAAAAGAAAATTTTACACACCCTGGAGCATATACAAATCGACTTTTAGATCCAATGATTAATCAATATCGAAATTCCTTAAATAGTAAATATTTTTATACCTATTGCTGCTACAGTAGTAGGTTGTTTATTGATAATTCCCAATGAAAAATTTCCTTACTGATAATATTATACAGGCAGCGAAAAATCCACAGGTATTATTATATTATAAACAGTGAAAATTATGATCTGTTCTTATTATTAGACCGAGAAATAATCGATATAATTTTTCATTTTAGATTCGAGGTTATGGAATTGAGCATACCGAATAATAAGGTATACGAGCAGAAATGATTAATCTGTAGAAGACAATTTAAATAAAAATTTTATATTTGATTGTGTAAATTTATTTTTTAAAAACACTTTAAAAAGTCTCAAAAGGAATGTGTCACTAGTATCATTGAATAAGATATAAAATATTCGCAATTAAGCATTTGATCAAAATCAAATAAAGAACACAATTATTTTGGTTATTATTTTAACATAATTGTTATATAATACCTCGTACTTTAAAAAAGATTACTTAAGAATTGCTGATGTATTATTTAAGTCACATTATTTTCTTAAAAAAATTGCATCTCTTATTGACACAAATATTCTAACTCCTTATTCAACTTTTAATGTTATAATGCAACTTTTATTGAGCTCTAAATAAAAAATTTTTTAAATTCATTATTTTCAATTATTTGTACTTTACTCGTATAACTTACTTTCTTTCGAAAAAAATTTCAGAGACTTAATCTAAATAATAAGACAAAGTATAAATTTATTATTTTTTAAAAAAATTTTTAACTCCAATATAAAATTATATTTATTTAATGATGCCGATTATTTTTTATTACTTATTGAACATAAATTAAATGTTCCTTACCAGGAAAAATCTATATTTTTAAACTAATAATTATAAAAAACTATTTCTAATAAATGTTCATTACCTATTTAAATTAATTTATCATTTTTGTTTATTGAATTGTATTCTTATTAAAATAAACAAATAAGACTCTTTCTGCTGATCCTCTGATCACACACAAAAAAGATGTTCGCAAGAAGTTTTAATACTTCTATGCTAATAAAGTCTTACTACTTTCTTTAAACCAATCTAAAAAGTTCTCTTAGAACTCCCTTACCATCCCTTTCCTCTTGTCTACAATCTCCTTTGAACAAACTGAACTCTTGTGGCTTGCAAAGTTCAGCTCCGACCTTTACTACCTATGACAAGAAAGTTCTTAAAGGAAAAAGGACCAACAGTGAAATACATTCCACCTCTTAGTTATGATGGAGATAACAGAGGTTAAAACCAGTCAAAAGACTCAATTTTTCACCCTTTGACTGGTATTGTGGCCTCTCAGAGCTATCTTTTTCACGGCGTTCTGGGGAATTTTGCCTATCCCAGCTTGACCCTAAAATTTTGGGTAGTATGGATCTCACCAACTCTGATTGGTCGACGTAAAACACGTTGAACAAGATTGATAAACAAGCTCCTATTGGTCACCTCACGTGTCTGAATGCATTTCCTCAGCTCCATAAGAACCTAGGATCCATCATAAGTCGTTTTGTCTGACGCGGGTGGATATAGGACATGGTATCGACATATCATTGAATACAAGAAAGAGTTTATCTAACCATGGTAAAGATCACAAGATGCTCGATTGATCTTTTCTCAAGTCAAAGCTGCCTATATCTTGATTGTATATCAGGTAGGTTTCCAACCTCTACTACCCGGAAAGTCTAAATCAGAGAAAGCATGGAGCCATTAAGGATACTCAGTAGTAAAGCTTATGTGCAAAGTAATCCAAGAAGTTTTCATCCTATCTTCAAAAAATCTTGAGTTGGAAGACTGGAAGGTTAACACCATTACACCAATCGAAACTCGAGTTCAAAAATGTCAGCAGTGACGTGCAAACCGGCCGGAATGTCTGAAAGATCCTCATTGATTGTTAGTACCAACAGCCACCAGCAAGGTATGTCGACTGCAAGGCTAGGTGCTGTTCTTCATATAAAAAATTAAATCTGAAATAAGATGCACAGATGGATAAGTATATCCATATTTAGATAGGAATAGATTTAATTGACGATATACTGGAAGACTTTCAAGTCGATCATGCAGACACTAATATATCACCTGGGCCTTCTTGGTTATTTCCTCCCCATAAGCCTTAAAACTGTACAGTCTTCTCTTCAGCCTCCACCTTATTTCTGTAAAAGACTCAGTAGAAGTTTTCCTCCAGACCTTTTCATAAGGGGAATTTGAACAAGATAGGAATATATCAAGAAATAAGACCAATACATTTCATATGACTGTCCAATTTTTTTTTTATTTTTTTTATTTTCTTCTATAATACCAGCATACTCTAAGGATACTGATTTTTCTTTGAAAAAAGAAAAGGCAATAAGCCTTGAAGTAGCTTTAGAATAACTTTAGCTTATCATTATCTTTATCCTCCCCAAATATACATCTATGTATTCATGCTTTGCACAATATAAACTTGTAATTTGGGATCCAATAAAGTTAAGCATGAGCCTGTCAAAAAAACAAAAAAAAAAATATTAAAATAAAAACTTACAAATTATTTTTCTTAAAAAAATAAAAGAATTTATAAAATTTCATCAAAAATAGATTCTAATTTTTTTTTTTTTTACAATCATCTGTCAAGTCATATGTACTGTACTTTATTAAATATAATGTAAGCTATACTAATTGCAATATCACTAAAACTAAATTACTAATTAACTCATTTATTTTAATTTGTTATTAAATTTTAAATACAATTTTGAAAGTGATTAGTCACTTCATTTATAGTTTATATTGATACCCATTTACTATAAATATCATTATTTATAATTCATTACTATTAATTGCTGACTTAAGTTTTAACTAAACTTAAAACCCAATCATTTTATATTATTTCTAATTCTCATCAATATTATATTAATAAGGCTTTTATCTAAATATTCTTTTTTTGTTATTTTTTTTTTCTCTTCTTATTCTTGTTGAATAGTCTTTATATATCTTTTTATTTTGTTTTTTTATAAATTTTTTTAAGTATTCTTATATACTATTATTTACTTATATCTTTTATTCTATAATTCTTTTCTAAAATAATTTAGAATCCTTTCTAATAACAGAATATTCATTTTTTACTATGATTCTAATTTTCTTTTTTCATATTTTAAATCCTCTATTTTTATTTTAATCAATTGTATATAAAAACTAATTACAGTATATCCCAACTTTTTTTAAATACCTTCCTTATAAGCTTTATTATTTATCCTTTTATTTCTTTTAGCTCTTCATTATTATTTATTAGAATATTATTATAGTTTTTTCAAATTTTATTTTTTATTTTTGTCTTGTTTTATAAAATTCTTGATATAATACATTTATTTCTTTTGATTAAACTTATTTAACTATATTATTTAATTATATTTTTATAGATTAAATATTTAATAAATTGTTCTATTATTTTTTTTGATTACTTTTTTTTTTAACCAATAGTCAGATCAGTATGGCTTGTCTTTATTGTATATAAAAGATATTTACAAAATGTTTTGATTTTCACATATTAACTCATCAGTCATTAAAAAACTATTTCTCTAAATATAACTTAGAAAATGATATTTCACTTCTTTACTGACTTGAATAAATCCTCTAATCAATAAAATCATTGTTTACAGGTCATTACTATGGATCATTCTAAATTCTAACTACAATTAAAAACCAAACCATTTTCTTCTATAACAACTCCATTCTTGATGATTTCTATAGAATTTATTTTCTCTTTTCTTTTAAAAACTTTTTGTTCCAGGTTTTTTGCAAATGTAGATTCTTTTTTCTATTCTTGTATGACCTGCATAATAGATTTATGCACAGGTTTTTTTATTTTTTTGTCCTCTTCAGTAATATTCTACTTCTTTTTCCACTTTATTACTTTTTTGCAGTAGCCATTTTATATGTTCTTGAAATTTTTTCTCATCTTATAACAAAGTTTGCTGATTATGCTCTGTGTAACTATCAGAGGAATTTTGAGTTGTGCTTTGAGGTAATTATTAAGGAAGTGGTTTTGTTCTCTTTCATATATTCACAGATAGTATTGAAAAGGCTCTTATCAGATTATTGAATCTCATTTAACTATTTACTTGTCCAGTTATTGATTATAGAATGAACTTTTTCTTTGTCTTTAATTTCTTTATTAATATAATAGTTGATCTTTTCTTTTGTTTTTCAATATATATCTTCTCTGATTTCTTTGATGGCTGGATATTCAAACAGATATTCTAATGTTTCTTCTTGAAGTTTATATACTGAACAGGTTATTATGATATAAATATTTGATTTTCTTTTCTTCAATATCTGCAGTATTGGAAGTTCATTATAGATCAGGTTGATCAAAAAGTTTTGTCTTTATTATTTTTGAAAGAGATATTGAAAATACTGGATAGATTAAACTAATTCCAGAAGGTTAATCAGTCTATAATTTTGTTATTTTGGATCTATGGTTCTTGAATCCTTTTCTGTGTTGTCCAATTTTTTCAAATTTTTTTCCTGTTAAATGTTTTGACAAATTCTTCAATACTAATCTCTATTGTATGTTCCCTCTATGTGACTATTATAAAAATTGTTAATAACTCTAGTAGTTAGTGCCAGATTATTAGATTTTTATGTCTAGCTTGTTTGGCAAGTAGATCTACTTGATTATTGAACTTATCAATTCCATGGGCTTTGACCTTTATAATTTCTAATGTAAGATCTTTCTTTCCAAATAGATCTTTAATTTTATTCCATAATAGCTAATTAGTAGTCTTTATTCATATTCTTGTTAATATATCCACTTATAAACTAATAGATTTCCATATCTTAACTGTAGTATTATATTTGAAGAATATT